CCGCTTCAGCCCCGAGGCCGGGTACAGCCGGGCTTACTACTCCAACCTCTACAGCCCTGCCTGCAAGAAGGACTGAGCCCGCGGGGAGGACGAGCACATACCAGCCCCCCTCTCATCCCCCCACCCCAGCACGCTTTGTCCAGGCCCCCGCCAGCTGCCCACACACACCCCTGTACCAGGACAGGAGCTCAAAGTGGTAGACATGCCATGGGATGTCTTCTCCTTCTGGAGTGCATCAGGGCCAGGATGGGGGAATGAAAGCAGCCAAAAACCCTGTCGGTGGAAGGAGAAGGTAGAGGGAAGTAAGACCAGAGGGGACCAGAGAGGTGTAGGAGATGAAGAAAGAGTGGTGAGACCAGAACAGAAAGAAAGGGACCAGCCAGGCTACCCTGGTCCCTGCTGAGCAGATAGCATGGACTTAGTTGGGCTACCCATTGAGAACAGTGCTGAGCCAGGGCAGGGAATACAGCAAAGCCATCAAACATCACCAGAGCAAACCTGGTTCCCCATCCTTCCTCCCACCATCCCACCTCGCAGGGCCTGTCCCTGGCCACAGATTTCTCCTCCATGGAGGAGCTGAAGTTCCCTACTGACCAGCAAGACTCATGAGACAGAAAGCCCTGGGGACCCACCCCCAGCTGATGGTGGGATGGATGGTGGGTTCAGGAAGAACAAGGTGAGAATAAGTGGAGTTCCTAGAGCCCCTCTCTCCCGCAGGACTGCCTGGCTTCTCGCAACACTTGGTTGTATCTGCTGCAATAATAAATAAACCTTCCCAACCTGCCGCTCGCCCCGTCTGCTCAGCTGCTTTACAAGAGGGAGCCACCAAAATGAGGGAGCAGAGTGGGGCGAGACACCCAACCCAGGGCTGAGGGAGCAGACAGAGGAAACTCATCCTCGAGTCACTGCCACGGGGACAGTGAGGACTCATGCCCAGCACAGTACGTGTCTCTTCCCATGCCCCAAGTACAAATTCACAGCCACGAGGAGCCGGGGGCTTCCTGCCAAAGACCATTTATTGCATTTCCAGAACAGAGCAGAGCAATCGCTGTCCGCACCGCACGCACAAACCCCCTCCCAACACGCTGAGTTCCCAGGCACACCAGGGGAAGGGTTTGGGGACAGGCAGGGAAAAAAATACCGGCGATGAGCCCGGCAACCCCTTTCTCCACCTCCCTTCCTCCCCGGGGACAGGCAGCCTGACAGCAGGAGAGGCTTGGGAAGGCGCAGGGTACGATCCCCCATCCTGGGAATGAGCCACGCGCCTGCTTTTTCCCAGGCACAGCCCCTCCGGCGCTTGCACAAGGGAAACAGTCACTGAAAGGCTGTGGGAGAGAAAACCACGAGCAGGATGGTTCAAAAGCAAGGGGGGTGGGATGGGGACCTCATCAAGGTCCTCAGGGGTCAGCTGGTGCCATGGGCTCTGGGACACTTGGACATGGTGATGCACATATGGGAACTGCTGGTGGCTCCCTGGTGGAGAAACCTCCATGTTGCCAGCTTGCAGCTGCTCCAGGGTTCCTGGAGAGAACCCTGATGAGCGTTAATCAGGATTAAGGATCCCAGGGTAGGAGGAGGTGACACTGAGCTAGGTGGCCAGGCAGAAGCAGCATGTCCTCCCTGCTCACTGACAGCCCAGCCAGCTCCCGCTGAAGGAGCTGGGGATGATGCCGCCTGGAGCAGTGGCAAGATCACTTTGTGTTTTCCAGCGTTGGAGGATGGAAGGAGAAAGCAGGAGGCACCTAAAAATCTGGTATAGCAAAGAGCAGACTTTGCTCCACAGCCTGTCCCACCACAGAGCCAAGAGCTGTATAGCAGGGAGCAGAGAAAGGCACTACAGTTCTCAGCTGCACCAGCCACGTATGGCAGGACACCCAGATCCTGAGGTTGGGAGGAGAGCAAGGAATCCACCGTACTTATGGAAGCACACACCATCTCCATGGGCACCCAGGAAGGGGGCTCATCCCAGCTGGAGAGAAGCAACACCCAGGCTGTATCTCACAGTGAGTCCGTTCGCTTTCGGGCAAACACAGCTGACATGGTCTTGACGATGCCACGGATCCTCGTACCCTTTTTCAGTGCCAGTTTGGTGTCAGGGATGCGCTCGGCCAGTCCGTGGAAGACCATGAGGGCCCCATGATAAGCTTCAGCTGCTGAGACCTCATAGAAACCACAGTCTAAAGAGAGGGCCAGGAGCCGTCCCTCCTCGCTGGACACCACTCGTTGGTGGTGCAGGTCACGTTTGTTGCCCACAATGATGATGGGCACCTTCTCCTGGCTCTGCCCCTCCTTGGCTGCCTTGATGAACTGGATTTTGAGGGGCAAGATGTTGAAGCTGGCACGGTCACAGATGCTGTAGACCAGGACAAAGCTGTCTGCCCACTGGATTCGCTTCTCCTCTGAGGAGCCCTCCTCTGCCTGCTCCTGGGGAAAGAGAAAAGGAAGGTTTTTTACCTGGCTCCCTCTCTCCATGCCTGCTAGCACAGGGCACGGCGATCCTGTGGTGGGGTGGCTAGAGAGCAGCAGTAGAAGGGCAGAGAGAAAGAGGGGTACCGAGGAAAGCAGAGCAGGACCTGGCAGATCTCACCAAGGGGACATGATTTAGGCTTCAGCATCACTGTCCTCGACTCATCACCCAGCTGGTAAGCACTGCAGGCTGTAGGTGATAACAGCGTGGGGACCTCAGAGTGGCACTTCCACTTTGTCAGCACAGTCCTGTGCTCAGTCCAGGCTGATAACATCAGCACTTCAGCCCCAACATCCCCAGTCAGAGGACCACGGGCTATGGTGACTATTGCTACCCTGCCAGCAATGCTGCTGCCCTGTGCTCTGCAGGCAAGAAGGGTTTAGTTGCCTACAAACCCCCTGAGACGTGAGTTGTGCCTGTGCCTATGGTTCCACGCTACGTAACTTTTAGTAGAGGGTTTTTTTTCTCCACAGGGTGAAAACAGACAATGGGAGACGAGCCCTCTCACCTGGGAATTGGGGACATCCCAGATGTGGAAGAGAATCTCTCGGCCGTCCACAGTCAGGTTGTGGCTGTAGATGAATTCTGCCAAAAAAAATGAGAACACAAATTGTCATCTTCACGGACCCAAAAGATAACTCCCATAACCCAGGTCTTCTCCTCCTGAGGACAAACCTGTCACATCCACCCTGGGAGACAAGGCAAAGTCTGGGGGGTCTTTTCACATAGCAACAACCATGCAAAGCATGGTGGCCTTCAGGGCTGTGACCACCCCAGCATGCAGTCCAGGCACACTGGTGCCACCAGCTGCTACCCAAAACCTTTTGCACCCAGAGAAGCAGTTCCAGAGCAAAGAGATAGGTCACTGATCAAATACAACCATCAAGCTCCCCAGGAGCAGGCAAAGGCTCTGGAGGAAGGCAGGAGAGGATGGGAAGCAATGAATCTCGTGGGCAGAAGCAGGCTCACCTCCTGACCCCAGTCCCCAACAGGAACCAGCCTGGCCCTGGCCTGGCACTCACCCATGTCTCCGTACTCCCCGATAAAGCGCCGGGTGAGGAAACGCACAGTCAGAGCTGCAGAGGGGAGAACGAGAATCATCAAAATAACCTTAAACCTGAAGGATTTCCCTTTTTAAACCTGAGCAGAGTCAGGCACCGTCCCCCTGTAAACTCCCACTAGCAGGAACAACCTCCATTTTCCTCCCAACCCTCGGCAGATCTGCGAGCAGAGCAGAGGCACAGCACAAACCAGAGCATCAGCAAACCACAGCTCAGCAGAAAATACCTTCTCCTGTTGCTCGCCCGCTGCCTGCAAGGCTGAGCTCAGCTTCCCCACCTCAAACCACCACCACACCAGAATCCCACACCTCACCAAGCTGGTGACATGGGCTCAGCCCCATCTCACCAGTTTGCTCCACAGGGTTCCTCTCTGCAGCATGTCCTCCAAATACTGCTGCAGTTTTCAGCCTTTTTTCCTGGGGAGAATCGGGTCTCCCTGCCTGGGAACCCCCTGCTCCCAGCCCACAGGCAGTTCTTACCCGATTTCCCCACCTTGTCCGCTCCCATAACAAGGACATTCACTTCCATCTTCAGGGTGGTGGGGCCAGGAAGCTCCATGAGGGCAGGGTGGTCAGGGGTGAAGCTGGCACTCCGGCGCAGCGGGAGCCGGAGCCCCATGCTGAGCGTGGCTGTACCTCTCCAGCGGTCCCAGCGGCGTCTGCGACTCCTCTGCGCGCAGCCGAGGAGCCAGCGCTTCCCACGGCACCCAGGGGACCCGCAAGGGCCACCCCCCTCCCCACAGAGGCGGTGCAGCGAGAGCTGCAGGCGGACAGATGAAAAACTTCATCGCTCAGATTGTCCCAAAGGCAGGTCAGTGCCCAGAGCGGGACCTGCCAGCCCCCAGCATGACAGAGGACCGGGAAGCAGAGGCTGTCTGCACTGGCTGCTCCACAAACTGCATCCCAGGAGGCTGCCCACGCCTGCACCTCAAGCACGTTGTCCCTTGGCAGGGCCACGTAACCCCTTGTCCCTTCCCCACAGTGATCATAGGAATGCCTGCGAGGGGTGGCAGAGCACCTCACAAGTGGTGGAGTGTCTCCTGAGGGATGGAACCCTCACAGGGTGGTGGAGCATCTCCTGAGTGGTGGAGCATTGTCTGACAAGTGATGGAGCACCTCGTGAGTGACAGAGCACTGACGAGTGATGGAGCATTGTCTCACAAGTGATAAAGCATCTCACAAGAAATGGAGCTTCTATGAGTGAAGGAGTGTCTGACGAGTGGTGGAGCACCTCACGAGTGACAGAACATCTCATGAGTGGTGGAGCATCTCACGAGTGACAACATCGCACGAGTGACAGGACATCTCACAAG